GATGGCGAGAGAGGACGCGGAGGAGCGACGACAAAATCGCAACTGCTTTGGCTGCATTAGTGTCAAAATATGCAAGAAATGATCATAACCAAGTTTGGTTGGAGTGTTCTACGATGCTCATATGAAGGCTACTGCATGACGAAGGCGCTGAATCAGTATCAGGTGAGCGGGCGCGAACACGGCGCGCGCGTATCCTCACGATTGTAAATGTTGCGACCCATGCGCTCTGCGGCTAATAAAGCCGCGTTCGCGCCCGACAATATTGCGTCTTCGCCATGCAGCAGCCTATACAATAATATGTTGAACTTCACTCTTTGGAGCACTCTCTGTAGAAATTTTCACTACTCACATAATTCATTTGTACAGCTCCTCGACTTCATATTATGGGAGTGCACACATCCCAATCAAGCATCTTTGGAAACGAAGAGCATTGCTGTCCGCTCAATCACAATTGTGTTTTCCGCATGCGAGGGTCTATGCAAATTTCAAGAATATCTCTGAATAATTCGTTTTTGAGAGCAAGTGCTCTTCAGAAAATTTCATTCTCCTTTCGAAAAGTTGAGCATGTGAGCAAGCATGGTTTTATAGGAGGGAAGTGTACAGCGTTCCGCACAGCAGAGCACTGTTTCAGGAAGATACCGTTGTCTGGGAGCATTTTGAGATTTGTGAAGGTTAGCTTTTGAGTACAGTTGCTCTGCAAAATTGTTCTCTTGGAAAGAGGAGCGTGTGAGCAAGCTTGGTCTTCTGGGAGAAAAATGTGCAACGTTCCGCAGAGCAGGTTGTTTTAGAATACTACTGTTTTCTGAACATATCTTACTGGTTTTTGAAAAAGCGCCTTTGGGAGAAATTGCTCGACATAGCATTGCTCCAAATAGTTCATTTTTGCTTCAAAAGATGAGGATGTGGGCATGGTCTCGTGGAACAGAGATGTACAGCTTTATGCAGAGCAATATTTTAGGAAGATATTACCGTTATCTCGGCATAATTTAGACAAATTTTTAAGAACTTGGTATTAAATCAATTGCGCCACATAGGCTGATGAATTGGTGATCCAATCCGTTGATTTCTATAGTTTTGAAACGGCATTTACGAATGAATTTGCTTCAACGCGATCTAGCGACCTGTAAAGGATACTTTCATATATTAGGTGGGTTCGAAAGTTCTGTCGTTTCATTTTCAAGAAATTGTGACTTCGCGAATTCCGATGGATTTGCTTGCTTTTGATTTTTTTAGAAAGATTAGGTCTTCCGCTTTCAGTCGTTGTTTTGTGGAGCTTCTGTTTCACACTGAGTGCAGATATAAAAATGGAAAACCAAGACCATGTAAACTTTGACCATTTTAAGTTAGGTCACCATGATTTTCGCGAAAATTGACAAATTAATTAACTTTGGCGTTTTCCATAGTAAACTCGATATTCACAACTTCCCACAGAGACGTCCAAACAGCACAATTTTTCACAGATGCAAAGAGTAGGTCAAAAAACATATGTACTGACGATTTCAGATTTTTTCGCAGCATTCCAGATTTTTGGTGACCTAACTTAAAATGGTCAAAGTTTACATGGTCTTAGTTTTCCATTTTTATCTCTGCACTCAGTGTGAAACAGAAGCTACACAAAACAATGATTGAAAGCGGAAGACCTAGTATTTCTATAAAATTACAAGGAAGCAAATCCGTTGAAATCTCGCGAAGTTACAAATTTTTGAAAATAAAGCGACAGAACTTTTGCACCAACCTAATATTAGGTTGGCCCGAAAGTTCGGTCGCACCACTTTCAAAAACTCATAACTTCTGGCTTTTTGAACCGATTTACGTGTTTTTATTTTTACATGGAAGAGCAATTCATCCTCTTTATAGATGTACTTTAGCGGCTTCCTAATGGGCATACATTGCATAGATAGAAGCGGTAGAAGGAAATTACTCAAACTGAATTTTCTGTGTAGGGACATAAAAATTCTGCAACATGCGGTAAAAATCTGAGCTGTCAGTATTATAGGTTCTATTACCTGTTCTTTCTAACTGTGAAAAGCGTTGATTGAGCGTTTCTATGAAATCTCTGTGAAAAGTTATGATTTTCGAGCAAGCAGTACAAAAGGGCAAATTCGATTTATTTTGGCATTTTTCTCGAGAAGCATAACTTTTCAGAAAGACGCTCAATCGACGCAGACTTTTCACAGTTAGAAAGAAAAAGTAATACAACCTATAATAGTGACAGCGCAGATTTTTACTGCAAGTTGCAGATTTTTTATGACCCTACACAGAAAACTCAATTTGAGTAATTTTCTTCTACCTTCTATCTATGCAATGTATGCCCATTAGGAAGCCGCTAAAATACCTCTATAGAGAGAATGAATTGCTCTTTCATGTAAAAATGGTGATAATGAAAGTAACATTGATTCGATAGAATACCCGTTGCATTTAACAATATTATAGATTTATTGCGGAGTAGGGGACGAGTGGCGTAGTGGTATGAGGCGCCGCTATGACCAGATCGGACGCAGGTTCGATCCCCGCCCCTGGGCCAACCAAGCCCTCTACCCTCCGGGGCTGGTAAATTGGTACCAGAGTAATCTGGGAGGATAAAAGCACTGACTTGAAAACGGCTGGCCCCCGCAAGTCACTGTAATAGGCCCGCACGCATACAATTGCCTCTTCGACTATGAAGTTAGTGTGTGCGTTCGGCGCATGCCCTCAGAGGGTATTGAAGACGCCGAATCCTTTATCCTTTATCCTTTTTATTGCGGAGTATGGCCTGATAGGAGGGGATTGGCACAGGGGGTAAGCGAGCATGCTTTTACGAAAATGTGGAGTGATTTGGTATGTAGAAGTGGTACAGGGAAGTGTTGTACAAATTAAAGAATTGGATGGTCTTTATCATAGTGCAGTGACACGGACATGCGGAGGGGACAATCATCTAGTTTACTATTTGCTTACCAAATTCATAGCTATCTTCTCCATACAATGTTACGTATCCAGCTGAGGAGAAATTTGACCAGATTAGTGGATAAACGTCGTCAATGTAATGCGCTTCCCGAAATCGTTTCCTGTTGTGAAAAAAACCTTAGTCATAGAAGTATCAGCGATGATGCACAAGTAACTATCACTAACAGTGGCGTCTCTGACTTTGAGTGATTATGTGATTATGCATATAAGGCCTTCAATGCTAAAAGGTGGACCTGAGAACAGGAAGCGGGAACTACACCGAGAAGCGATTGCAGGCTTTGAGAGTGGTCTGCGGCAGTAATACAATTACGCGTGCTTGTCGCTGTTTATGGATAGGCGAAATTATTTTGTAACATATATGAACTTGGACCAACCCCGCGGAAAATTGATGGATCCCACAAAAGTTTGTAAAAAAAGCTGACGCCGCTTTTTCATTTGTTCTGTGTTCTCTTCTCTCTCCCCCTCCCCGCTTCTTTTTCCACCCGAAAAAAATAACTGCAACTGCTCCTTACTTACAGTAAATGTGTAAAAAAGCGCTTAAAGAGTTTTTAGTAATTATTTTGTGTTTCTTTGGCCCTTACTAAAATCCACTGAGCTCAATCGAGCGGACATGACCTCCTTTAGCTGTGCAAATGCTCCGTGTTGAGGCACAGTTAATGAATTGATGATTGGTTGGCCGCGCGACAGCCTTAGCGCCAATCTGTGAGCCGATGATAATGCCACTATGCTGAAGATGGATTCTAAGTTGAATTAAGAAAGATAGTCTGCGAAAGCGGAAAAGACAAAAACACCGCGAGTTGCCCGTGAGTAGCTTAGGGCACTCGAGCTCACGTTCTTTTGCGGTGCAAAACTCGCACAATTGCATCATTTCGAAGCTCAGACGAGAGAGAATCGATGAGCAGCCGACTGCGGTGAGAAATTAAGAAAAGAAAGTTATTTTTGTATTTTTTAGCAGATGGTGCTTGATTTGAATGAATTTGAATGAAAAACCGCTTCAAACGAAAAGAGTGTGAATCTTTTTTCCATTAGTTTTTCGACAATTGTGATTTTTCACCGGTATGCATGCCAAAATCTATAAATTTGTTTTATTACTTCGTTTGCTGAGGGAAATCTCTGTTAGCGATCGTCATCGACTTTTCAATAGTGCCCGCTATCAAGGATTGTCCGGCAATGCAGCAAATGCAGCAAAGACTCAAGCGGTTGCTTTCTTAACACATTCACGAAAGAGCCGATTTTTCGATTACTGCCATTTCGGACAGAGCATATTTTGCGAAATTGAATTTGCGTGATATTTTCAGGTCACTGATGGGACCTGTGGTCTGAATTGTTAATCTTTTGGGAAGTACTCCGAGACGTGTATACAGGAGTTTACTCGGTTTGCCTAAAAAGTTTCACCGTGAACTAGCAAAATCAAAAACTTCAGAAAGCGTACGACCCACCGGTGGGTCGTATTGTCGTGAATGTGTTAAGGACGCACACGTTATTATGTCTGACACGGGAAGGATGTTTAATTAGTGGCCTTTCAGAAGGGAGGATGTACACCATTTTGGAGGATATAAAATGCTGGTAAATTTGCCTTCTTTATCTGCGGAGCATCCTGGTCGCGATTGAAATTTTTTTGGAGCAAGAAATTAAATGCGCAACATGGGGAGAATCAATTGTTTAGATTTGCTTAGACCAAATGGGACTGCGATGAGCGAATTCATGTTCAAACTTACAGCATTTATTGCGTATATGCCGCATTATTCTCACAGCTTCACTTGCGCGTTAGAAAAGAAATGTTATTGTTCATTCCATCGTAATTAAGCATGCAATTTTTCACTCCAAAATATCCTCATGACTTCGCGGAAATGCTCCGCAAACAAGGAGAGCAAATTTGAAATTAGCTTCATGCCCCCCCCCAAGATAGCGTGATTATCTTGAAGGACCACTTCGACCAAACATCCTTCCGTTGTAAGACAAGAGCTCAGTGGATGCCGCATTGCCGGAGGGTAAGTTCGACTTAGGCCCGCCCCAGCCGAGTTGGGCTCAATGAGGGTTTACTACGACCCTATGTCTCACTTGCCGAAATCAGGTGGAAATTTAGAAGTACGACGCACACACGATGAAATAGAACTTTTTACAATAAATGCTTGTGGAGTACCATCTCCAACGATGTTGTAACCTTCAAAAAGTGAAATGCACTGAAGTCTATAATGTACATGTGTCGAAGGCTAAGCTGTCTACACTGACCTTGCAAAACTACTGCTTCGAGGATCTCTTCTATAACTTTGACAGATTTCGGCAGTTTTCGTCGGAAAGACATTTGACTAAGAGAATCAAATCCGAGAAAGTACAAGTTCAGGCTTGTGCCATCTTTGCTCTTCGTCGATCCCCTATTCCGTAGGTTCTCGTCACTCCGCCGTACCACACTCACAAGTATACCGTTCCTAAATCTCTTCTCAGATCTCCCTTTAAAGGCACCGTCCACCCAAGGGGTTTTGGAGCCTTGAAGCAATATCGGAGTCCCTAACTAGGCGATCGCCGAATTTCCGCTGCAAAATATGAATGTCTAGGCGAGATTGCTCCAGAAGGTAAAAGGTCTACTCCCACCAATGCAGCTGGTCTGAGGCTAATGGTGTTGAAGATGAGCTCCTTGATAGATAAATAGAAATATGGAACATGTAATAATTACAGTGAAAGGCAAGGCTCGGCGCAGCTGGCACCGGCTCAATCTGGATATCGTTTTTAGGATTGAAAGCAAAGGAGTATCATTTTTTCCGGGGTCCGGGGCGGAGAAGTGCCGCAAGACTGCCGCCGGCATGCCACCGGCATGTTGTCCATCAACAAACAAAGGCGTTGTTTTCAGCCAAAACGCAATAGTATGACACCAAATTTGGTGGCATGCGCGTGGGTGGACCCGAAAGGGCCCAAAAATTTATGAAAACTTATGCGATTGAAAGCTGTGCCGAAGTTTTTTCTGAATTAGCTGGCACTGTGCTAACTGGGTGCCAGCTCAGCTGGCACGACACTTTGCTCACATAAATTTTCATACTTTTTTACATAGAATGTATCTATATCTACAGTGTAAAGCTTACATACAGAGAAGAAATAATTTCATAATGTGATAATGTTTTCTTATGCCATACGAAGTTTGGTGAAGCTCTTTATTGCGGCCTTACGCTTCGACTTATCGTCGTCTTCAGAGGCCTAAAGTGGTGCGAGATTTTGATCTTGTGCTCTACTCCACCAAATGCCTTATCGACCTCAAGCTAGTTTCGAACCCCCCACTGATTTCACTAACAATACTCCTAGAAAGTGAAAGACGAACTAACCCTTGCTTCGCTTCACCGTTGGAGCACTGATGGTATTGTGAAACCACGTCCTTTGGTGTCAGTAGTGAAAATAAGCCATTTTAGGGAGCTTATGGGTCGGTGTAATCACTACTGTTCATAGCTCACATAGCGGAATAAACGGCATGAAGTCATTCGTGATCGTTAAACATTCCTTTCCGTTGTTCATCGATGGGTTTCTCTGTGAGATATGGAATGCTTCGAGAGTTTTTCGCGCAGATGTGTTAGTCTCGCAAGCCAAAATCTTGCACTTGATGTCATAGTCTGCATCACCATGTTGTTCATGCCTATGTTGTGGTGAGTTTAGACCGCCAAGTCGTTTATCGGCTAGATGTTCTTTAAGTCTAACACTTAGCAATCTTCCAGTCTCTCCAATGTAGGACGCGCTGCATGTTATACAATCTATCCGGTAAATCACCCAACTTTCGCGCAGTCGCCAACATTGCCATACGGACAAACTCTGCATTCTTTTGTAATGCAAAATTTGTAATAAAGTCTATTGCGTACAAGCTTTCTCTTGATGTTCGCGCTTGGTATGTCTACTAAAATGATATCGTTGCTCAAATGTGATCGCGCAATGCTTCGCCGTATAGCAACACTTACTCGATCAGAGATGAAAGGTAAACAGAGAGGAATTTCGTTGTTGCGTTGAAGCATCTTATGCCAGGTACCTGGCCTACGTACGTTGTGCATCGAGTAGCCATTCCCTCTAGCGATGTCCAGCGCCAAATCTCGTGATTCCTTCCGTTCCTTTTCTCCCGTGCAAACCTGTGATGCAGTCTTGAACATATTGTGGATAACACCACGTTTGATGGCTGAAGGATGAGCAGAGCGGGCGTGCAACAAGATGTTTTTCGAGCTTGATTTACGATACCATTTTACAATCGCGTGAGATCCGGACAGTTTAAATTGCACGTTCAAAAATGGGAGCCACCCGTCAGTCGGCTGTTCTGTGTAAATCTTATGTACTCTGACTGTTGATTCAGTAAACGGAAATACTCGTCCATTTCGGACTGTGTGGATGTTATGATACAACAGTCGTCGATATAGCGACAGTACATAAGAGGTAGTCTTAACAGCACCGGGTTCTCGATTCTACTCATAAAGCAGACCGCTAGCACTGGCGCAAGTCTTTGTCCCATTGCGAGACCTCTTAGCTGAGTATAGTAAGATCCTGACCATTTGAAAATGTTACAGTTCAAGCACTCCTTGATCAGAATCATTGTTACTTTTACTCGAGCTGAAGGTTTGAATGTCTTTACCAAACTTATCCAACATTTCGGATAACGCTTGTAAGGCGTCGTCATTTTGAACATTGGTATACAGAGATACCACATCAAATGACTCAGCCACACACTCGTCGTTAAACTTAGCGTTGTGTAAGCGCTCAAGGAAATGGTTGGTGTTTGATAAATGGGACGGTACCTTGGTCAGTAGCTGACAAACAATCTTGTTCAAGAACCAAGATATTTATATTAATTTCATAGTTTCCTTTCCAGCGTTTTATAGCAATCTGAAAATTACTCGGTTTGTGGGTCTTCAGAACAGGTCAAAGGGGACTTCGTACTAAATTTTCTGCATATGGTACTTCGTTTTGAAATTTCCCTGGTGCCAGCTCGTGCCCTGGTGAAAGGCAAATTTGTGACAATTATGGATTTGTTGAAGTCAGACTAAACACGTTGATGGATGGAGCCACCTTGGCTTCTGGAGCGTTCTCGTTGGAATTCATCTTCTGCGGGGGGATTGATATTCACTTTGTTAGGACTTCCCTATTGTACAGTACTAAAATCTCACCATCCAGATGGGCCGTGTCCTTAATGTCTAAGAAAGTTAATTCTATGCTGCTAAGCCTTACCATTTCTGCCATCCATCAGTACAGCTTACAAGAGCAAAGTCTGACTTCATGGGTTGGCCATTTGGTAGTGTATCGAAAGCGGTATAAGTATTGTCCGAGGTACTTTTCCATGTAACATAGTATCCATGACATTGAGCATTTTTTCTGCAAAGAATTACAAATTTTTGTGTTGGCATTTTCGACGCTGATTACGCACTCACATACGGCTAATCAACCGTTGAAAGGGAGTAAGATTCAAAAAATCAAAATGTACCTCTCTTTGACGTACTGCACATTTCCATTATCATCAATAAAGACCCAATTTCTAGGGTTTTTGAAGCATGTGAGAGGTTCGGTTTTGAAGAAGAAGCCTCTCACTTCTGTGCCATTTATGTCCAGCTTAGGTATGAGACAAGTCTGCAAAAGAAATTTCTCTCACGTATACAAGGTAACTGACGCCTTAGCTTCTGAAAACGGCTCAAGCCGAAATTTCGGGCAATGAAAGTGTATTATCTATAGCAACCTGTACGGCACAATAAAAATTGAAATAAGACATAATCAAGAAAATGCCCATCTTCAGAGATAAGAGGACCTACAGCATAATTTTCTCTCATTCTTTATCGCTTGGCTTTGCAAGACTACTGGGCTGGAACATACCTTGCACTAAAATCCAGCAAAAAATCATTTAAAAATGTTAGGCAGCTTTTCAAATTTATATGATTTTGATGTTTATGAGATATTTAGTAATGTTTCGAAAGGATTTGCTTTGAAAAAATCAAAATTCGAAAATAGAACATTTGACCAAAACTATCTAACTTATAAAAATTGAGTAGAAGGTAGAAGTTAAGCTTCAAAAGAAGTAGGATATCGGCCTTTGAGCATTTTTAGTGACCGAAATCTCAAAAAATAAATCAGTGTCCATCTTTCTCAGCTCTAATTGCCGCGATAGGACAACATCGATTTTTTGTGTAAACACTATCAGAAAGCGCACAACTTCTCCTATGACTCGACTATAATGCTATTGAGTGGAAGAACATGAGAAGTTTCAAAAGTTTTAGTGCAAAACTCAAATTCAACCTGAAAGATTTAACTTTCAGGTTGAGCTTGAGTTTCAACCCAAACTTAGGTCTCTAGCGTTTCTAAACTAGAGGCATTTGAGTACAATGATTGCGTGATTGCATGGAAGACTTACTTGTCCTTGCAGCTGGAATGTACCTGCGCCAGTCGAATTTCTTGGTTTTGCCCGCAAATTTCTATCTATGTCTCCACCAGTTACGATCACTTTCAAAGGCGACTGCAAGAAATAAGCATACTGCGACTGTACAAAATTTTTCGGAATCTCATGTGCTCACCCTCGCAGCTGGGAATTCTTTGTGCAAGTAGATGAGTATAAATGAGAAAATTATTGCCGCTACGAGCTGCTGCCGTCTGATGCGAGGAAGTCGTCCTAGTATGGCGCTGAGCTTGTTTTTGCATTTAATCCGTAATGCATGCTTGGTTATCGGGAATGACATATAGCTTGACGGGTCCAGGAGGGTGGTATTAAGGCCTAAGCATTGAAATTATGGAGGTGCCCTGTTTTCATATAAAAACAATCGCATTAATGTGAATTATGAAATCAGATTTGTTTTGTTATTCATAAACTGTTTAAGCCATAGGTTTGCCACATCAGACGACTTTGGCAAAAAAAAGATTTATAAAGCTTTTCACCTTTTTCGGAGCCTGTAGCTCAACCTTGGCGCGCAGTTTATTAGGTTGTTTCATAGCACGTTTTTGTGGCTTTTCAAAAAAGCTAATTTTCAATTAAATCATTTTTCCTAAAAACTTTTTATGGCACCTAAAATGCGATTATTCTGGTGCTTTTGTTTTCGCAGACTTTAAACCGGAGCCTTGAAAGATAAGTGATCAATTGAAATTTTTCCTTTTACCTTCCTTGCCCTAAGACCATACGACCAGATTTATTCTTTAGACTCAAACAGTATAGGCTATATAAAGGGCGTAGTTCGCGGCATCATTATACACTTGAGAGCAAATTAAGCTCTCTCAAATTGTAAGCTTCTAGAAAAAATGTTGTGGAAAATGTCGCGGTAGAAAATCTTCGTCGGAGTGGATACGATCCAAAGGAAGTAAGCATTATATAGTTAAGGTCTACAGTTTGCAATAGTTTTTATCGCACTCAGAAAAATGATTTAGAAGAAAAATTACCTTGATTTGAAATTAAAGTTTAAAACTTGCATCTTATATTAGGTTGATGCAGAAATAATGAGCGTTTTTCCATTTTTCACTTTAACTTGCTATAACTTTCTATAAAACATACATATTGAAATGCGATAAAAACCACCAGATGCAGCGAACCTTTCGCAATACAGCGCACCTTAGTCTACACTAATATCTCATATGGGCAGAGAAATATGGATTAATGAACAAAGAAAGTTTTTTTGAAGTCTTGTTTTTGACGGAACATAACTTCTTTCACACTTGGTTATCATAATTCATAAGCAGCCTATCTTGTAGCCGCAAAACAGTAGTACAAATATACATGGAAAGGGTTTGGAGAAAAGGATTAGCGAATGGAAAAATCGAAATTTTAAAATATCAACTTTTCAGCATTTTTCAGTAGGCCTCAAAATCCCGGAGTATAGAATTTTCTAATTTACTGCGTACCGAACAGCTAAATGTCTTTGCTAAAATTGTCAACAGGATGCCCTATCCTCGCGCTTACGGAGATGAGCAAAGTTTGAGCCACGCATTCAACTAAAAAAGTTATAGGCTCTAAAATGACCACAACCATCACCCATGTTAAGCCACCGATATCTCACTTTAGATAACTTCAAAAAATATGGTTAAGTATGCACAATGTAGACAAAGTCCATTACACATAGCGGCTAAATTTTCAAAAAAGCACCTGAATTTGCGCTTAAATTCTGGCCAGAAAAATGAATGCAACGAAAATCTGGTGTTGAGTGCGATTTTCTGAAGCTCTATAAATTCTCAATAGAGTGGGCTAGAAGTCCCTTTTGAAAGCATTAGATAGTGCATGAGAAAAGCTTTCTAATATTTTGCTAAAATTGTTTCAAACAAAGAAATTTAGTGGGAAAAAATTGCTCTGAAGAAAGTCCTTGGAAAACGCTCATTATTTTTGCATTAACCTAATGTATAAAACTAAATGTCTGTATGTATGTACGTATGTTTTGAATAGAAAATTCCATTTCTGAACCGATGCGAACCAAACTTTGCACACATACTCTTCGGGGCCGGGCGGGTGTCATAAGCTACTTTTCGTCATCGATCGATATAGATTTTTTTGATTTTTCAAAAAGTTCGAGCTACGGGGTTGGAGGTTGGCACAGGGGGGTAAGTGAGCATGCTTATTACGATTATGCTATTGACAGGGCCGGGCGGAGCCGGGTTTGCCAGCTGTTACTTATAAAACAGCCAGATATAAATAGCCTAATATAAAAAACTTCTGATTAGTTCCTAAGATGACGTTTTGTTGATGACGTGTAATGGATGGACAACTGGAGATTAATGAAATTATTGTGAGCAGACAGCGGGAAAGGAGGTAGTGGTTTCTGAAGATTTTTCTACCACTCAGGATTTTGTAAGAGAAACGAGATGCAAAATGCAGAGTTTTAGAGGAAACAAACTGGCATAAATCGCCAACATTGTCTTGTTTTGTGGTGATTCAATGAAACTGGTGTTCTCTTGCACTGATGTCCGGGACTCAGATGTTTTGGACAGATCGAGACTGACGAGCAACAATAGCTTGAGACGTTTATAGGTTGTGTTAGTGCACTACTTTTAATTCTCAAATCAGTTAAGTTCAGATCATGTGAGCATATAGATGAGTGACAGCGTGGCGATAGATTTCTAAAACATCAGGAGTAGCTAAGCAAGATTGCGAAATGTAAAGCTAATTCATAGGCTGAGGAATACCGAAGAAAAAAAGTAGTTGTTAGACGTTTTTTCTCAAGTCTGACATGCACAAAAGACATTAGTTACATTCCAAAAATGAAAACAGAAATACAGATTGCAAATGAAACTCAGCATGCAAGAATTGCCGTGAAATAAACGCAAGTTTTCTAGAATGCAGATAACGAGTAACAAGAGCATTCTTTAGGTTATAGGTTGTCTCGGAAGTTTTGTCCGTTTTTTCAAACTATAAAACCACGCACAATATAGACCTGAATGAGCTTCAACATGCATTCGACGCAGATTTTCCTTCTTTTTCTTATGGATACATTGTCGAACCACAATCTTGTATGCTTCTTTTGATAATTGCCAAAATTCTCCACCGTCAATTTTATCTGCTCAAAGTCAGGCTAATTTTGAAAGTTTCTTTCAAAGTTTCGGAAAGGTTAAGTAAGGTTCAAATAGAGCAACTCGGACTACAAGGTTTTTAGGTTCTCCTAATCTGCCGTTTTTAGCTTCAAAAATCATTTCTTCAGAGGTCTCGATTTTTGGCAAAGTCATGGAACAAGCAACTGCAGCAAATACACGAAAGCTTTCGAATTTTCTGCAAGTTGAGACACGATTCTTATTAAACATTATTTATGCAGCAAAACCAAGTTTGATTTGCTCGGAAAAGCAGTTTTTTAGAATTTTCGGTACTTTTACGTGATAAATGTAATCAAAAAGCCGCGGTTTTTTGTCAAATAAATGATTATAACGATCTTGGTAAGCGTTGATTTAAATGATCAGCGTTGATCGTAACTTAAAATGGATACAATATAGCCAAAGGTTGCTCTACATAACAATTACCAGCTCTTCGAAAACATTAGGATAAAAAATTTTGAAATTCACGGAAGATTTGGCGTTACTGCTAAGTTGCTCAAAAAGCCATGGCGGTAGCATTGCAAAGACAGGGAAGATCAGAGAAATATAGCTGTAAGAAAGAAGATAAAAATCTGAATCAAAAGATACCTAAGCCGTTTATGAATCGGTGTTCTGTGTGTTTTAATGAGCAATGAAAAAAACGGACAAACTTCCGGGACAACTCAATATATCATCATTATGTGACTAGGAGGCTCGACACCGCCTTGCACACATTGTCTAAACCAGTAACCTGCTGCTTCCTGTTTTTAAGTAGCAAGTAATCCCGAAATATTTATTAGGCTGTCCAGAAATTAATGTCCGTTCTGAATTCCAACCGCAATAAGTCATACACTTTTCATTCCTAGATAGGCTTCAAAGTACCTTTTGATAGAGCAAAGCAATCTCTACAAGATGACTATCTTGCTTTTGCAACAGCTCTCATCCACCTCGAGTTTCGAACCAAAAACTTGTAAGATTCAACTGCCCAAAAAATCGGGAAAATCATCTCGGTTCATAAGAGACCTAGAAAAATTCTAACTTGCTCAGTAAACACTATCCACAAAGACATCTATGTACGCCGTTGCCGTATTTTTTTCCTAGAAATCAAGAAAACGGAAATTTTCATGCTTTTGCCAAAGTGATGCTGTGCCGTCCCCACATAAGTAGATGCATACTACAATTTGTAGAAGTACAAACGTGAACTTTCAGCTCTTTACAAACTTTAGTTCTCGAGAAATTTGAATTTTAGCTTGGACCACCTGACTAATCAAAGCTATAATCGATATTTCTCGGGAACTAAGGCTTGTAGAGAGCTGAAAGTTCACGGTACTTCTACAGATTTGTAGCATACATCTACTTATGTGGGGACGGCACAGCATCACTTTGGCAAAAGCATGAAAATTTCCGTTTTCTTGATTTCTAGGAAAAAATACGGCAACGACGTACATAGATGTCTTTGTGGATAGTGTTTATTGAGCAAGTTAGAATTTTTCTAGGTCTCTTATGAACTGAGATGATTTTTCCCGATTTTTCGGGCAGTTGAATCATTTTAGTTTTTGGCTCGAAACTCGAGGCGGATCAGAGCTGTTGCTAAAGCGAGATCGCCATCTTGTAGAGCTTGCTTTGCTCTATCAAAAGGTACTTTGAAGCCTATTCAAGAATGAAAAGTTTATGACTTATTGCGGTTGAAATTCAAAACGGACATTGATTTCCGGACAACCTAATAGATCAAATAGTAAGAAGTACTTGGACATTGAATTTGACTAAAATTTTTGCTTCGGTGAGATCAATATATGGGGCGCGGCTTACTATCAGATAGAGAGAGCAAGCACTAGAGATACTAATCGCTATAATAAATGAATCATAGGAAAGTATAGGCAAAAATTCAAAAGCAAAAGATTTTAGACAAGCTCAGATCTTCACCTCTCGTAAAACCTGTTCCTAAATGCTTTGATATATAGCAGACATAAACTTACATACACAAATGCAAACTCTGAATAAAATTTGCGCCTAACCGACAAGAAAAACGAGGGTGTCGAAAAACGGCAAATTCCACCTTCATTGAGATCTCCTCCCACTTGCTCTGATATAAGCCAAATGTACACATGCGATAATACAATTGCAAATTTTCGCTTTCGTATAGATGCATTACAACATGAGAATTAACAACTTTAGACAAAAATTACCCGAAAACTTTCTT